TGCCATTAAGCGGAAAATCCTGATGGTATGTTTTAATGTTAGACGTATATTTAAACCATTATTCCGAAGGAGTTTTGTTACTGTTTTTAGGGGGATTGTTTTTAAATCGGAGGAACGGATAGAAATAGGCTAATGAAAGTTGGTTCACTCTCTTTTCAACTGAACTTTCAGTAGTCCATTTTGGTTTAAGTTAATATGGATTTGGGTATTTAACAGCTGCATCTTTTGTGGTTTTTGTTTTTGTTTTTCTTTGTGAATGCACAGACTCAATTTCAAGCTGTTAACTGTATCTTTCCACTGTTAAGGTACTGATAAGTTTTAGGTCACTGAAGAGAGCAGGTGGGAACGCGTACAAACTGTTCCAGCCTTCTGAAAGAAACTTAAATCATTTTTTAAAAAGCCTGTAATAAGCCCCATGCCTTACACTGTGTGCTTTAAGCAAGGATGGTTTCTTCAAGACCTCAGTTTTGTCCTCTTTTTGTGTACTTATGAATGAATGCGAGTAGATAAAGCATGTTGTGCCTCCGTCAGAAATTCCATTCTGTAATTTAAAATCCACACCGACTTAAAACCAAAAGGCAGCCGGTGATGTGATTCCCCTCTGTCTGTCTGTCTGGAAATGTCCTTCAGGGAGACCCTGCTGACGGTGGGGTACGGGAGGAGGAACCAGTATTCGAATGGGTGGAAGGTGTGGGAACCTCTCTCAGGAATTAGGTACTTCGCTGTGTCAGAGAGGACTTCAAAATCTCCACAGTTTGTGAAATATTTTATAGGCTTTATTTCAAATTTACCTTTTTAGAAGCTTGAATAAAAACTTAATTTCACAATCCTTCACATTTCTGCAAGGTTTAGCACATCAGAAACGTTGAGCTGGAAGTGGAGACTTTGTTGAATTAACAAAGATGTGCGTTTATGGTGGTGGAGCAGAGGCGGAGCTGATCGGGATGAGAGGCCAAGGACTGATGTCCTGCTGGAAGAGATTCGGCCTCTTCTCTTCCAGCTCCTCTGGATGCTCTTGTGTTCTTTCCTTAAATTTCCCTGGCGTTCCTGCCCAGTGTAGCTCAATCAAGGAGAATCCCCCGGCGTGTACAATCGCTGCGAGGACGGTGCAATGAACTCACACCAGTCGCGGGGAGAGCAAAACAGAGGCAGCAAAGAGGTCGGCCTGGCTGCAGGGCAGAGGCCTGGGATGCCTCTGCCCCGGGGGCTGGAACAGCAGAGTCGCGTAGTTTTAGATGTGTCTGGCACGTGATGAAATATTTGGACAGAGCAAGTATTTCTACCGATTTATTTTTATTTTGCTCTGATAGAGGGAACAGTTTCCATGTCGTTCTTCTGAAATAGGCCTTGGTACATCACCCAGATAATTAAACTAAATAGCAGCGTCTCCTGAATCAAATGCTGCTGGAGAGGTGAAGTGTTCATTTCACGCCTCCGCAGGCCCTTTTTTTCCCCTCGGGGCAGGCCCTTGGCTACTGCTAACAGGTATACTCCATTGCTGCGAAAGGAACCAAGCCATTTTTACCCCCTCTGCAGAGCTGGTTGTGCCGGTTTATCTGGGTTTGATACGCAGTGCGAACGCGGCCGCTCCAGAGATCAGCAGACCAGCCGTCCCGAGGGAGAAGGGAGTAAGCGGTGTATCTAGGGTGCTGGGGTCGGAGCACATCCGCAGATAACCGGCTATTTGATAGCCTCAAGTACTGGGAAAGTTTTGACTTAGGAAAACCAAGTAATTAAAAGCCTTGTTGTTGTTGACGGACTAAAATCCCTTAGTCTGGACTCGCTAATGAGGTCTAGCGAAGCGCTGTGCGAACGTCAGGGCTCGTACAGTGCTCCTCTGAAATCCGTGCAATACGTTTTGCCCCAAACGTGTTTATTGTGAGCGATAATCGTGAGCGTCCTCGGCATCAAAGAAACTCCCGCGACTCAGGAGGGAGGTCTCTGCTCAAGCGTTGGATCTTGCACTGATCGCTTGGACGGCCCTGGCCCAGCTCCCGGCGCGTGACGGACGCGGGGATGGGTGGCGTGGAGAACGGCGCGCTGCCCGCGCGTGGCCTGGGTCGGGCGGATTCGGCTGGGGGTCGTTGTACCTCCGCGCTGGGCAGGTAACTTTCTAGTGATCGGAGGGCTTTAGAGAACCCGAGTTTTAGGTGAAACACCACAGGGTGGTGTCTATTTATGGAATATGCAACCTGTGACTGCTGTAACTGAATGTAAGCGCTCTGGAAAGACTCTGCTTTGCTGATGTGATTGTCTTAAAATACAGCAAATGAACCAAAATAAGTCAAACTGGTCCAATGGCGTAACTGTCTTTGAACCTTTCTTAAATGCTTGCAGTGGCTGAGACTTGTTGATGTTTCTTGCACTTGGAGCTCTAATGCCGAATTAGTTTTTCCTTCACCGATTTTTCAATCTGTTAGAGAAAATCATTCCCTTGTCGGTCCCTCTGTGGAGCGTCTGGGAGCACAGTACCCGCTCGCTGCTCAGAGTCCTCCAGGCTGAGGCCGAGGCTCGTCCCGTACGGGAAAGCTGTTCCGACAGAGGTTTTAAGCAAAAAGCTTGCTTACTTCTGGAGCTGCGTTCGCGTGCTCCGTGGGCCCCTCTGCATTGCTGAAAGCGTTCTGGACAAACCGTTATCTTTGCTTCTAAAACCCAGAGATCCTGATGATGTCAGTCATGCGAGACTTAAAAATGTGAAGTTTGTAGCTTTAACTTTTTTGTAACAAAGAAACTAGCAACACTGGCATAAAGTGCTGACTTGAAATGCTGTTTTCTAAGATCTAGCTGTATATAATAGTGTTGGGTCATTGGTTTGTATATGTATGAAATAGTAACTTTTATTGCATTCCTCTGAGTTTGATACAGGAGATTTTGGTTGATCTTTCTCAAGGATCTTGCCTTATTTGTTCAAAGGGGCAAATAAACTGTCCTTACCTGAAAGCGTCCAGGTTGTGACTCGTATTTATGCATTAAGATGCCCTGGTGTATCATTGCTTGCAGGCCAAGTTTTAACATGGCGCGCCTCTAGGCAGCCAGCGTTACGCAAAGTTCTGGAGGAGCGTAGAAGCTTTAATAAACGCAAGCAGTAAACGTGTCAGAAGTACGTTTTTGAACAGGCAATTCTTCAGCCTTTGACGGTTACTAATTCTGCACCTCGAGGAGAGATTTGCTTCAGTTCGGGGCAGGTCCGCGTGCCGCCGGCTCCGTGGCAGGCCAGGACGGGCGCTGGAAGTTCAGGCGGTTTCCCCGCGCGCCGAGGAGCGGCGGCGGCGGCCCTTGCCGGCGCCCAGGACCTTCCTTTGCCCCAAGGGCTGCTCCGGCAGACGAGGAGGACGAGCTCTGCTGTCGGTACTTGCTATCCCTGCTCTGTCATTTCGCACTGCAGCACCTTTCCGGAGCCTGCAGCCAGGTTTGGGCTAGGTGCCTCTCAATTTACCCACCTTCCCCCACAACAGGGGAGGCTAGAGGCTCGCTTGCCGAATTCTGGCTGATTTGCTGCACTTTCAGCTTTCTAGCTTGGAAAAAGCTGAAGCTGACAGTGAGTGGGTGCTGCCTTCCAACGGTGAACTGTTGGCTTCTACGTGGTTTCCCTGAGCAGTTGCTAAATCCGTCCTGAGGGGATGACTAACCGAAGCAGGGACAGAATTCATTCAGGAGTCGGCTTGGGTTAGCAATCCCGGAAGAAACAAAATAGATCTGAGCTTTTAAACGTTGGGAAGGAGCGTGGAAATCAAAGGGAGGGAGACCGCCGGCATCTCTAGTAACTGGGGAAGCCGGGAGCTCCTGCACGTTCTCGGTGCCGGGATGCCGGGGAGCCCCGGCGCGAAGGGAGGGGCGCGCTCCCAGCGCGGCAGCGGCACCGCAGCCGTGCCGGGGGGTCTTCACGGGCGCTCCCTTCGTGCCGGGAGCAGTGCGCCTGCTGCACAAACATTAATCGCTTATAACTAACAAAACCAACGCTGACAAGTAGCCGTGAGCTGGGGCCGACGTTTGGCCAGGTTCTTCTCCCCCACGGGGGAAAAGTCAGCTCCCCACGAAGCCGGTAGCACCAGCAGTTTTTCTCCTCCTCCCACAATTATCATCAGCGCCGAGGTCCAGGTGTTGCTGTGCCAGTGTCCCTCCCTTCTGTCCGGCCACTCCTTCCTACACCCGCCGTTTGTCCCCTTTCCTCAGGTCCACAGGCCAAAAGAGTCCGAGCGCGTGCTTCAGATGAACGCGTTGAGTCCTGGCTGACAGCCCTGACTGGAGAGTTGACAATTTTTCATTGCATTAATCACTGGCAGAATTTTAAAGAGTCAGACCAGGAAACACCCATCAGCTCTTTCCAGACTGCAAGTGACTTAATTGCCCTTTAATTTAAGAGCCCAGGAAGACAGCCAGCTTGTTTAAAAACTTTGAAACAATTCAATTCCATCTGGAAAGCACGGTCTGTTCTGCTCCCCCCCAGGCTGTGGCTATTCAAACCAACACGGCGCTGGAGGTGGAGGGGGCCCGGAGTCCTGAATCCCCTCCAGGGTGGTCGCGGCAGTGGAGCCCACTCTTGCAGACCTGCCTGAGCCGCGGGCGGCTTCGCCTCAGCCCCGAGAGCCTCCCGGGCCCTCACTCGTTGGCCACGGGCCCTCGCCCGTTGGCCGCGGAGGGGATGAGCAGAGGCGCAGGGCGCTTTGCCCCCTCGGCTGCTGCCGCCAGGCTGGCCGTGAGCACCCTCGCTGGCGCTGTGCTTCCCTGCACGCCTGCCCCCCGTTTTTTAGTGCCTGAAAGTACGTGCCCTGTCTAGGCATATTTGCTTAACGTAATTCCATGCCTCCAAGGCTGTTCATTAGCTATCT